ACTAAGATCCTTGATATAAGATACCACATTTTAGTGCATTTGGAGCAACTTGGCTGAGAGTTGGGGGCCCTCTACCCTTAGCCCCCGCCACGGTTTGCCACACTCCAGTTCAGACCTGGGGCTGCAGGAAGAGGACACGGTCAGGAGACCTTGCCACTAACCAGCCCGGCGACCTTCAAGCGAGCCACGTAGCTCCTCTGAGCCTCAGGCTCCTATTCAGAACCCTGAAAATACTTTCCTACATCGTGTCTAAGGCGCCTCCCAGCCTTAGCAAGCCAGCCATGCTACAGGCCCTTTGGGCTGCGCACTGAGGAGGTCGGCGGTGTCTGCAGAGCGGGCTTGGATCAGACCCATCAGTTTCTCCAACGCAACCTGATGGAGTGTCTGCAGTGCTGGGTGTGGGCCTGATGCCATGTGCGCCAGAGGGTGGCCCAGCCCCTGCTGGGAAGGGTCTGGGCTTGAGTGGGGGCAGAGAAGCAGCCTTGATTCAACAGGGCGAAGGCTCCAGGAGCCACATGGCCCTGGGGCCATGTGGGCCCCGGAGGAGGGAATGGAGGGGCCAGTCCCAGCTATCAGGACAGAACACTCATAAAACAAGCCTCTCTTCTTTCTTTCCAAACAGCACTATTTTGATATGTCAGTGTTATTTTTGATAAAAGGAAGAGATATTATTGGTTTCCTTGAGACTGTAAAAAGACGTGAGCATGTTTTATGCATAAAGGCCAGCATTATTTTGTGATGGCCACCTAGAAATAGGCTTTAGTGGTCAGCCCATTTATTTTAGAACAGGCTCTGGAGGTTTGGTGAGTAAATACAACATGAAAATGAAGAACGGGGTCCAGAGGAAGTGCACCCAAGAATGGGAGTGTGGCTCTGCCTACACACGTTACGGTCTCATGGGGGTCCCTCAAGACAAAGCCTTCAGAGCCAGAGTCCCTGAGTGGAGGGGGCATCTTGGCTGTTTTGATCCTGTTAAGCACTGGAACCCTCTTTTTCACAAAAGTCACCTTAATCAGGCCAGTTCCCACCACAGCTGCCTAGGGATCTGCACTGGGTCAAGAGCTGATGAAAACCAAATGGTCAAAAGTGTGGATGCCAAGGCCAGACCACCAGGGTTCAAATCCCAGCTTTGCCACTTCCTAGCTGTGAACCTCGTCAGGGTCTTGTGAGGCCTGAATAAGCGAACAGAGCTAGCAAGCCTGGCAAACAGTAAATGTCGTAATGGTGACATCGGCAACGGCCATTGGTTACAGCCATTACTGCCGTTGCCATAGCATCTCAAACCTGGCCCTACTGCCCTCTTCTTCCAGAAGCTTCTGACGCCCCATCCTCTTTGGGAGGCCTTCCAGTGTGTAGCCACAGCAGAGGATGGAAGGGTGGGTGGCCTCAGAGAGACATCCTTCCAGCCGCGGTGGGCGTTTGGCCTGGAAGCGATGAGAGGCTGCCCCTGGCCCTTCATTCCTGGCTCTGTGCCCAGGCTGCAGAAAGCTCTTTTTCGTAGCTCACTTTTATAAGACAGGCACCCATTTATAACATCCTGACACACCCCCCCAAGCAATGAGCTCATGTAAGTATAATAATAATGACAAATAGCAGTGAAACTGAATGATGGTGGCCCTGCTGGGCATCTCTCTTTGAAGCTGAAGTTCAGCCTCCCATGTGCTACAGGAGGTCTGCCAACTCGAGCCCCTCTTGCCAAGTCAGCCTCTCCTTTTCTGAGTCCTCTGCTGTGAGAAACCATCGCAGCCCCTCGCCTGAGGTCTCGGGATGTCCGGCAGTGCCCCTGCCCCACCCCCGGGCTTGGCTAGAAGCCTCCATTGGCCCACAAGTGCCAGAGGCATCTGCTCCAATGGGGACACACCAAAGGGGGCCTCACCATCCATTCTGTGGCCTCTGGGCCTGGTCCCCAGCCCAGGGCTGGCCCCCCAGGCCAACTGGAGCCAGCGAGAGGGCCTAGGCCCACATGTCCAACAGAAATGAATGCAAGCCAACTGCACTTGGCAGCCGTATTTTAAAAAGTTAAAAGAGAAACAGGTGAAATGAATTTGAATATATTTTCACCCAACATATCCAGAATAAAACCTTATTAATGAGGTATTTTGCCTTTTTTGGTACCTACGTCTTTAGGACCTGATGCGCGATCTGTACCTAGTATACACCCCAGTGCACACAAGCCACAAAATGCTCAATAGCCACAGCTTACAAGGAACAATGTAACCAACTTCCTAAATCATGGGTATCTCGGTATTTCTCTTCAGCTGGGACTCTTGAACACTGCTTCCCTGCTGCAGCGAGAGCTGGGTAATGAGCGATATTTATTAATAGCAGCTGGTCATTGAGGGGAACGTATGCTTTGTTCTAAAAGTGAGTTTGCGTTGGTAAGTTTGCGCCCCCTCCAGATGTGTGACTTCGATCTTCAGACTGTCCCACTTTCTCCAGCACACGAGCCATGGTGACAGACAATGGACTTCTCCCGGGGGAAATGCTCCCGCTAAACCCAGAGTCCCGCCCTGTTGTTACCAGGTGCTGCTGGGATCTGTGACTTTGTGTCCTCGGCCCAGCGGCTGAGCTGGCGGGCTCTCGAGGCTGACAAGTGCTGTCGCCAAGAAGAAGGAGCCTTTGGCACCTGGCATTCTGCTCTTGGAGGCCGTGGGGGAGGGGGAGGGGGGTAGCAGCAGGAGTCGTGGAGTTTAATGCTGTGGGAATTGAAAATGAAAAGCAAGTTGGGCCAAAGTTGACCAAGTCAGAAAACAAAACAAAACAAAACACTGCACATGGCCCTGGCTTTTAGGATCTGTGAATCATCCTGGCCAGGAACAGGGTTTCTATACCCTAGACTCCTACAGCTTTCCAAACTCGGGTGGCATTTCCCACCACCCCACAGAGGGGGCTGGTGGGCCGGACCGCGTGGGCATTGGTGGAATACTGGGTGTGAACTAAGGTGGGCCCCCACCGGTCCTCGGCGCCATGATTCACCCAGCAGTGTGGCGTCTCGGCCGTGCGCGCATTAAAAACCGACTGACTCAAACACTGATTGTTGAAAGCAGATCGCAGGGATGCTTTTAATACAGTTACAAGAACAAGTTTAATTTGTGTGCTTTTGAAATAGAGTTACTGAACTGAAGCAATGCCTTCAAATCTCTTTAATCCTCAAAGCCCTTTGATTAACATTTTATGAACCCCAGTAGGAGTGATTACATGTATTTGAAAGCCATAAATCGTATTTTTAAAACAAATACATCAATATTCAGGGCACCACCTATTAACAGATGCGCTTCAGGCAAGGCTCCCAAACTTCTTACACCCCAGTTTTCTCTCCTGTAAAATGGCAACAGTGATCATTTCTGTCTCATTCGATTATACAAAGTGTGGAGAGCATCGGACGGGTGGTAAGTGCTCAGCAGGTGCACTTTTATTTTCCCAAAGACAGTTTTTGTGGTGGTTCTGCATGGCCAAGACAGGCTTTGATCCAGTGATTTCCTGTCTGGGAACTAGAGTCATTAGGTAATAGATCAGAGACTCATTTTCATAGGGTTTTTTTTTTTTTTTGGTGGTTTGCGTGCGTGTTTTCCAAGTTCCCAGAAAAGAACAAATGTAATTTTAAAAAGAAACGAAGGCTTCCTTTGTTTATCCTTTTCTTGTCAAGGAAATGAGCCATAGAGCCACCGAATCCAAATCTGTACCCTTGTCGTCGCCCACACTGAAGTGAGCCTGCGCCTCCCATCCCACAGGGAGAAATACTAGTGGTTCATTAGAAGAACAGAGTTGGGCAGACCAGCAGGAAGTTTGATTATGTCCCAGGACATTTAATTAGACATAGTGGGCCAATTAGGAAAAAAATATCCTACATTTCAAAGTCAAATTCATATGCAGAATGGCAGAGTGGTCATGCTGAGTCCCCGTGAGTCTGTCTTCACATCGAATCCTGTGGTGTGATCCACAGGCCAGGGAAGTGCGTGTTTGACGTACACAGCCGGCCTGCGAAGCGACGAAGCTAATGTTTTAATAAGCCAGCCGCACCTAGCCATTCAAGTCAGCGTTGTGCCCTCCTCAGAGGGAGGTTGCAGGATGATTCCAGGAGTTGTGGTGGCCACAAAGGCAGAGGGCAGAGGAAAGGGAAGGACCCCATTAGCCCAGCACCCGGCCTCAAAGGTTGCCTGTGTTTTGCCAACTCTTTTCATCTCTTCTTCCCCCTCTCTATTTTACTGAAGTATTTAAAACAAATCTAAGATTTCATTTTACCCATAAATATTTCACCTCTTACATATTTCACTCAAAAATACGCTCATCTCTGACTGAAAAGGACACCATTTGTCCTGCCTAATAATATCAACAGTAATTCCGTAATATCACCTGATATCAAGGCCATATTTAAATTTTCCCAATTTCTTTTTTACAGTTGGTTAGACTCAAGATCAGACAAGTCTGAATATTACACTTGATTATTATACTTTGTCTCGTTTAAAGCATTTTGAAATTTTAGCCCTCCAACAGCTGTTGTGCCTCTGTGTGCAACACAAGAGAACTAGAATTTTTACGTTAGTCATTCCTCCTCCTCCTTCTATTTGTTATTATTATTGTGATCTTCATCATCTTCTTTATCACTTTTAGAGGAATTCTGTTACATAGTTTGATTATCTTATTTATCAGACCCTAGCTTTGAACGACCTCTGCGTTTTCCAAAAATTAAGTCCACCTCAGTGTCCAAATATTTCTCTCCAATGAGGATCATTAAGTCTACCTTCAGACAGCGCAGTGGTATCTTGGGGAATGTAGAAAACAAGTTCAAACAGGTTTTGGGCAGTGAATCATGGGCCAACAGTTCTTGGGGTGCCTGATTTGAGGGGTGCTCCACCCTTGGTATAAAAATCAAAGAGAGATACTATCACTCCCCCCAATTTGCAAACTGTGTAAATGCCTACATGCTTGACATATACCTGTTCTAACACAGGCTTTTCGATTTGCCACTAACTGTAGTTGATGTATTTGTTTTCACACAGATCATTGCTTATCAGCCGTACGGGAAATCCGTGGACTGGTGGGCCTATGGCGTCCTTTTATATGAAATGCTGGCCGGACAGGTAATGTTTCATTGTGTTTTCATGCTCGTTTATTGCTTTCCAATATGAATGCTTCTGCTCTAATGGGGCCGTAACAGCAGGACCAGGCTGTGCAGTGTGGCTGGCACTGGTCTGGCTTCCTTGACATAAGGGAAGGAAGGAGAAGCTCCCCTAGACTGCGAATGGGTTCTCTTCAGTATGACTGGGATTTAGCTTCCAGTCACAGAAACCTACACTGACAGGTACATCCTAGAGGACAGACAGTGTACAGCTTTCACATTATACTCAGAAGCCCTCAGCACGTTGATGATAACAGGGATCCTCAGTGTCTCAAAACTGGGGTTAAGTTCCCTGCAAGTTTGTCTGCAGAAAGTCGCCCGGTGCTGCCCATGTATATAAGCACCATTGTTGAAGAAGTGTTTTAACAGCTTCTCCCATCTCTTCTTTTCTCACGATTGGCTGTTCATTATGGCTTTTACTAAAGTGCAATGAGGCTGAACTTCCAGGTAAAAAAAGGCAAATTTGGCTTCTCTCAGGAATGTCATATATCCGATAACCAAGTGCGTTACTGGCTAACATGGCCCCGGCTAATATAATGACCACTGGAGAAAGTCACACTAGCTGTTTTAACAAGCCACCTCAAAATCTCAGTGGCTGAACACAGTACACAGGTTTATTTCACATTCTTGGTGCAGGCCTACGTGGTGGGGGAGGAGAGCATGGCCCCACATGGTCATTCAAGGACCCAGGCTTCTTCCATCCATTGGCTCCACCTTTTAGGACCTCGAACTCCTCCACTGACTCCTCATTACTCAACTGGCCAATGAGGAGAGAGCAGGAGGACAGCCACACGTGTGCCCTAAGGGCCTGGTCTGGAGGTGGCATGTATGATGCCTGCCTGCACTGCACTGACCACGTGGCCCCACGGGAGTGGGGAAGGGGGCTGGAGGCAGCATACCCGTGAGCTCGGCAAGGGGAAGGGGGTTTGGTGAGCATCTGCCTGGTCTCTGCTATTACACCTCAAAACGATTCTGCTGTGGCCACTTTTTATAGTTGCCAGCACCCCCATAGCTAAGAGCCTGAGTGGGGAGACTAGAAAGAAATGCTTGTGTTGAGTATCAGAGCTACATCCCCCCCTAAAAAATCTCTGAACCTTTGTCTCTGAAAAAAGTTACTCTTTCTGATAAATGACAACCATTGACTCACTCATTTATTCATTCAATACGTACTTATTGAATGCATGCTCACGATGGTAAAAGCTATGACCAAACATCTGTACCTTCATAAAGCTTGTGGTCTAAAAAAGACAGTAGACAAATTAAGGAAGTGTATAATAGTTAAAAAGCTAAGAAGAAAAGTAACAAAGAAGAAAAAGAAGGTATAGTGTTGGAGAAGGGTTGAACTTTTAGCTAGGATGGCCCAGGAGGGCCTTGTGCACAAGTAAAGTTAAGATGAGAAGGAAATGAGTGAACATCTGTGTGCATATCTGGGGGGAAAGCATTCCAGGCAAAGGGAACAGCAGGTGCAAATGCCCTGGGGTGGGACTATGCTGCCACATTTAAGCAACAGGAGGGATGTCACTAGTGTGAGTGGTGCAGAGCAGGGAGGCTAGAGAGGGAGCAGTTGGCTGGAGTTGGAGGCGGAGGCCTGAGGTCAGAAACCAGGGGGAGCACCAGGTCACGTGTGTGTGGAGACAGATGCAAGACCATTGGCTTTTGCTCCAGGCTGGGAGCCATTGGTGATGTGTCTCTTTCATTGTATCTTACATCGTTTAGATACTAAAGTAGTCTTTTAGATATTAAAAGAGATAAGGTACTAGACTACATTTGGTCATTATTTCTCAGTGATGTTAAGATGGGATTGATATTTAAAAAAGTGGTATGTGTATTGTTTAGTTTTTTTGTCCCTGATACAATGTTTATTGTAGGCCAAATACCTCTGTTTGTAAACATGAAAAAGCAGGTTGCACAGAACAACTGTCAGAGAAGCAACAGCTGGCAAAACACAAGTTGCTGGCTCCCTAAGTTGATTTCCCCTCTTTTTGACGATAAAATTTGACTGAATTACCGGCCCTCGGGAGCCATGCTGTTCCTGAAAGCACAGAAAGCTGAGTTCCCCTCTGTGATCCCACTTACATGCTCTGACTCTTGAGTCCAGAAAACAAACCCTGCTTTCATGAAGAGGCACATTTGCATAGGCCAACAAACAAAATTGGTTCGGTGGAAATAGGATGTGTTTCCAAGGACACTTTACAAGAGATAAAATGAGCTGTCCCTTTCTTGGCCAGCAGGAGACTAGAACTTCAGAACCCAGGCCTGCAGGGAAGTCCCCTCCACCGTTCTTCCTTCTTCTCCAAGCCTCCCTGCATCTGCGCCCTGCAGGCAGCAGAGAGCTCAGGGAATGCCGCTCTCCCTCAGGGCGGCCCCTCCGGGGGGCATTTTGAAGTCCTGCCTCATTTGCAGACAGGCCCTTCCTCACACCCCCAAGGGGAGCCCCGGGCCCTCCCACACCCACTGGTTCCATAGACATTCTGGCACGTTTTGATTATTTCTTATCCCATTTCTCTGGGTTAATGAACTTGCCTTATATGGTTTCTGGAAGCGTTCATCATCTCTGTTGAAAATGCTGAGACTCTAAATACCACGCCTGGATTCAACAGCAGACATAGCCACTGTTCCTCCCAGTCTTCCCTGTGCCTGCCACCATTCGGTGTCTCCATGTCAGACCCTCTTCTTAGCTCTCCTCTCTGATTTGATGCAAATTTGAACATATTCCTGGGCTATGACTCAGTCCAAAAAGGATACTAAAGGCTCCACATGTATCGCCCACACCACGCCCCACCCCCCAAAGCTGCAGGAACATCAGAGACCCTGTGGAGGAATAGATACTGTTATTGAAAAGTAAAATTAATTATACAGTTACTGGTGGGGTTGTATTCTCAATTTGTCCTCTTCAATCAAGGGAGCTGAAGATGAGCAGAAAAAGTTTATTGCCAGTTTCTTCTTGCTTGCTTTATTTATTGTGAGCAGCCAGCAGGGGCAGCTAAGTATAAACAGCCTGGGTCTGCCTTCAGTTCCTGGATTGCAGTACAAATACGATTACTTGGAGGGATAAACAGTGTTTACCCAGCGCTCTAACGGGCGTATTGCTGCTCGAAGCGTTCAGGGGTATTCACCATAAAGGGACCAGCCCTCTCCTCTTGTATCCCTTTCTGCCAGGATTATTAATGCTTTGTCTTTATTCCTGGTGAATCAGTAATGGGTCCTTTATCCCAGAACATCAGCCTGAATGTCCTTGAGTTCTCTCCCACGCCCCCCACCCCATCATCACATGATCATGGCAGGGGCCTGGCGACCACCTCCTAATAAGTGACTTTGGAATCATTTTGGAATGATTCCTGCATCCTTCATTTGTCTGTTTAAAATTCATCCCTCATTTGTCTATTTAAAATTCACAAGTTACGTATTGCCAAGGAGGGCACCCCCAAGCCAAGATTTTAGCTTAGCTTGAAACACTGAGTCCAGATTTGTAGAAATTTAAAAAATAATCATGGGAGTGGGGGGAAGAGGGGAGCGAAGCAGTCCAGAACGGTCATGTCCTAAGTACCTTGCCAAGACATTGCCCCCGGTTGTCCCCAAGCTCCGTAGCTAGCATGTCTGGGAAGAAAAATGAATGTGATTATAACTTTTCAGCATTGACCTGCCTTCAACACCAAGGCCTGAGAGCAAACAATTACCTGTAAGAACGTTCTAGGGGCGACCACGAGAGACTGGAGGAGAGCCATAAAAATGTTCACGTCCTTTGTCTGCTTAATCTCACACCTGGGAAATTATTCTAGGAAGTAATTCAGAGAAGAAACAAATGACACACAGAGATGTTTATAGTAGCATTTGTTAGTGCTGGAAGCAATTATAGATGCGCCTTGGACAAATGAGTCAGTCTAGGATGACGTACCTCCCCAGCGGCACTAATCTGACTGGGAACACTGGTAGCTGCAGAGAAAATGTGTTCGCAACAGTGAGTGAAAAACAAAGGACTCCAAATTATGCATCACCATTTGAAAATAATATGCAAAGCCATGGGGTCCACAGAAAAATAAGGACCATGTTGAGGTAAGAGGGATGTGGATGCTACTTTCATGGACTTCCCCTCCCTGCGAGAAAACATCATTTCCATTGAAAACAGAGCTCCAGGGAGTTTTTGCAACTGTGGTAGTCACTGCTGCTCTTTCGCAGGTATTGGGGTCTTCCTCCCTTCTGGAACATGGAGGATTGTACCCCCTGGCTTGCTCGTGATGGGCTGGGGGACGGGACTAGTGCAGACCAACGAGGTCTGGGCGGATGTGCTCCCGGGTGGAGTATTTGAGTGCTCCAGCGAGACACCGCAGAGCACCTGTTCCAGCTCCGCAGCAGCGAGACCAGGATGGTGCCACTCCACTGGCGTGGGAAACTGGGCGACCTCTGCCGCCGTGTAGTGGACGTGTGGCCTAAGCAGGAGATAAACAGTCTGAATTCAGGCTGGGGAGTCATGCCAGGTCTCTGTAGTCTAAAGGCAGTCACTCTCTTCACAGTGACCTGAAACTCCAGGCCACAGCGACTGCCACCCTTTATTTTCAGAACTCACCACTCCCCATTGTGCAGAATGTAAATCAGCCTTTTTAAAGTTTACCGGAACAGTCTCCCCCAGCAGTTGAGTCCTCTTTCTGTGCCGGGTGTGCCAGCAGCTGAGCACCTCCCCCTCAATCCTACAGCTGCAGCGCCAGAGGGCATCAACACGGTTTAACCAGCGGGACGCGCGTGGGAGGTGGCATTGCTCAGACTGGCTAGAGCCCAAGCTCCGAAGTCAGGGTGCCTGGGCTTGCACCCTGGCTCTTGAACACCCTGGCCAGAGCACTCAACAGAACCTCAGTGACCCCCACTGTGCAATGGCATTAACAGCACCTGTGCCAAGTGGGGGTGTTCGGGGGAGTCAGGGAGGGATGCCCACGGGCCACGCCGCCGCGTGCCTGGCTCACGGAAGGCAGCGCCGGGCAGTGAATGTGCTGCTGCTGTCGCCATCCGTGCTGCTGGCTCCCAAACGCTGGCCAGTCTTCCGTGTCGGGCAGTGTAGACTCACAGGGGTGATAACAGAACTGCGGGAGCTGCGGCCTGTGTCCTCCCTAGAAGAAGCCCCAGTCCTTGGGGCCACACAGGAATGGGACCCAAGGTGACACCCCGAGGCTCTGCCACAGGGACACGCGGTCTTGGGGCTTTTGTTATAGCTCAAGAATCTTATTGCAACAGGTGAGCCTAAGGGGCTTCTAAAGACCCTCCCAACCCCACCCTTTAATGATTCACGCTGGGTTAAACAGCTCTCTTTACTGCAGAACTTCTCAGGGCCTTTAAAATGTTAAGTATTAGTGCAAACCTCTGGAAAGGGACACAAGGTGCAAACTTCAACCCGGAAATACCCTGTAGGATTAACGTTCTGAGGAGTGCTCTCTGGGTCTGTCAGGAGCCACGTATCCTGCCCTCATGGGGATACAGAAGTTGCATCGTGGTTACAAAAAAAAAAAAAAAAAAACCTTCCTTTGACCTGCAGTGGCCCAGGCCTGATCCTAACCCAGCAGTATCCGTTTCAGAAGTCAGCACTTTTTCTGAAGTAGGGAGACTCACCTGAGCAAAGCTGGCTCCCACGCCATGGGACAGCTAGGCAGGTGTCAGGGGCCAGAGCCCCACACCGAATGCCCCCCAGCAATCCTGCCTTTCACGTTAGAGGGGAAAGAAAGGCTCTGGCCGCATTGACCTCATGGCCTTCCAGTGAGAAGGATCTTCTCGCTGCCTCACATGAAGAAGATTCCTGGGGAGCATTCGCTTGAGTTTTTCTTTGGAGAAAGGTTCTCTTAGGCCTGCAGCTTGGATTACCTGCGCCTCAGCCCCTGGCCTGTGGTGTTCCTGCTGCTATTCTGAGCATCACCAGGGAGGCTGGGCAAGTCTCCCTTGTGTCTCTGTCACTGTCAGCAGAGTACACCAGTCACCCTCCTTCAGCCAACCTCACGCGCGTATGACCGATGTAGTCATACAGGACCCAGCTTAGAAGATACCTGCGCATCAGGTTTAGTGCTCGGCTGTCCAATAAGGGCCCCCGCATTTTCATTCTGCTCTGAGACCCCAAATTATGTAGCTCGTCCTGAGCAGTGGCCCCAAGGGGTCACGCTCTGAGTTACCAGTTGGTTACCCAGCAGCAGGGCCTGTGCCCTGCTCACCTCAGGGGCACTGTGGCATTGCAGAGTATGTACCCATAGTGAGTGCCAAGCAAGTGGGGCCCCCTGGAGGTGTACGAGTCACAGCCCTGAGCAGAAGCCACACATTTGTTTTAGTTACGAAAATCTCATTGGCCTAAACTCGGCCACATACAAGGGAGGCTTTTTAGGAAAAGTGAGATGTGCTGTGGCTGTCACACAGCAGGTGGTCAGAAGAATAAGCTACATGACAGCAGGAGAGAAGATTCTGTGGGATGGGCGGTAGGACTGGCCTCCGCTGGAGCCCTTGCCGGGCGCAGCCGCACCCAAGCCCCAGCCTGCCCTGCTCGGCTCTGCAGGCAGAAGCAGCACATCCCCTGCCGACCAAGGCGACCACCTGCAGCCTGCGCTCCCCAGTGAGGTGTCTGCCCCCAGCTGACTCACCCGGTGGGCATCCCAGGTGCCAGGTGCCGTGTCACTTCTGCCCATGGGAACTCTGCGCCTGCCCTGCCCTGCGTCATTCGCAGGCAGGCTGATTTTAGTTCTCTCACCCTCCTGTGTGTTTCCACCAAATTAGACGTTCTTAACACCAGGCACTTACAACTGGAAAACAGGCCTATTTATGTATATTTTTAGACCAAGGGAAAAAAAGCACAAGTGGCATCAGTCACCCCACACCTGGCCCCAAGGTAGGGTTCTTTATAGACTCAGCATCTTTCTCTCTGGAGGGTGTGGCTCCCGCATGCTGACCCCACTCCTGAGGCCTATTCAGGGCTGCGGTCGGGGTGGAGGAGGAAGCTTGGGGGCCAAAGAGCAGGTTGGGGTGGTTTGAGTGGTGGTTAGGGGAGTGTTCTGCCTAGTTCAGTCGGTCCCTCTCACTCAGGGGGAGCTGTTTGACAAGAAGGGGCAGCTCTCCCACTGATGACTACACAGTTGTCTTTGGTCTATGAGACCGTTTAAATTTAAGCCAGACTGAGCCCTAACCACGTCAGCCAACGTGACTGTAAGGTCTCCATATAATGAGAAGGCAAATGAAAGATGAAATAGGATTCTCTCTGTGAGGGCTAACCCTGCTCTGCCTTTTGCGTGCTAAGTTCAAGGTTAGCTAAGTCAAAGGGGAACGTTAGGCAATTTTCCCTAAGCCCATTGATGCTATGGGTTGTCCAGAGTGACAGGTAATTTGCTAATCTCAGGATGGAGGGCATGCTGAGCTTACCTATTCCTCCTGAGGATCCCAGCGGCCCCCCCAAAGCCAACCCGTCCTCCTCAATAACAACACTAGTACTACTAAGCACCCTACATTGGGCCCTTACTGGGTACAAGACAAAATGTCAGGCACTTTACAGACTCACCAGGGAGCCCCATTGTACAGACTGGGAAAGTGTTGCCTCTGGACAGCCAGCGAGGAGGTGGCAGCCCTGGAATTCTGGTCCAGATCTTCCTGACTTCAAAACCGTGACCTCCCATGGTGCCTCCATGCCTCCCACTCCCCATTCAGGGACGCAAACTCAGTAGAAAAGGACAGGGAGGTGTCCAGTGGCAGCTCTGTGTGGGGTCAGAAGGACCCTGATGTGGATTCCTGACGTAAGGAAGTCGTCTTTGCCCACGCGCTGGTATCCCCTTAACCACCTGTGGGGAATCCAGAGGCATTAGCTTCTCCACGCCCCCACCTTCTGAACACAGCCATCTGTGACCTAACTTAATCATAATTAGATTTTTAACACATAATTACAAGATTAATGGATGAATTATAATTTATTTGCAAATCATTCAAAGCATTGCTCAAAAACATTTTTCTAAAAGATTGTTTTGAGTTGCCCAGGGTAAGATAATTAAAGGAACAGGAAAACTGAGACACACACAACCTGCAACCTAATTAAAGATAATCGAATAAACCCGCCAGCTAACTGAGCTGACTGCAGCCTGCGGTGTTGAATTGGATCTTCAGGCGCCGTGTTAATAAATTACCCTGCCTAAATATTTTGCCATCTTTCTCTTTCCCGGAATAGCCTCCGTTTGATGGAGAAGATGAAGACGAACTGTTTCAGTCTATAATGGAGCACAACGTTTCTTACCCAAAATCCTTGTCCAAGGAAGCTGTTTCCATCTGCAAAGGAGTAAGTGGATATGGATTCCTTTTATGATCACAGACCAAAAGGGTCGATGGGCAACCTTTCCCCACACTTCTCACACAATGGCGGGGAGACCACAAACCCACGCCACTGCCTGCCAGCCATTAAGAGCTAGAGCTTGATGACATGCAGGGCATAGTGGGGAAAATGAAGGCCCGGAAAATGGACTGACACCCCAAAACTTCTGGAAACTCCAGTCCGGTCAGCGTTAGTTTCCCGTCCACCTCACGAAATCGTGGTGCAGGTTACTGGAAGTGGTCACAAACCATTGTTGAGAATGTTGGTTCTCTTCCATTGCCCCACTTGGTAATACCTTTGTTCATTTCTCCACTTGTGAGAGGCGCTGGTGGTATACTTACAGAAAAGGGCACAACCCATCAGCGGACAGATCAGTGAACTGTCATAAAATGAACACACCCGTGTAACTGCATGTCCCCAGCACCCTAGAAGCCCCTTCCTCTCCCACCTTGTTGTCAGTCCCCCTTGTCACTGCATGGGCTTGTTGTGCCTGTTTTGCACTTTGCGCACGTGGGATCTTGCAGTGGGTGCTCCCAGGGCCTGGTTTTCTCCCCGCAGTGGTGTGGTGGCGAGGTGTCTCCTCATCGCTGCGTGTGGCTGTAGCGCGTCCTCCGCACTGCTGAGCACCGTCCCACCGTGTGAACAGAGCCCAGTCTGTTCACCCATTCTACTGCTGGTGGGCGCTTGGGTTGTTTCCTTTTGATTCGGGGCTGTTACAAATACACCACCATGAAGCTTCCGGGTTATGTTTTTTGAGGAACTTATGAACAAATTTTCTGCTTATTTTTTCTGCTTTATTAAGGTGTAAGTGACAAAATTGTAATATATTTAAAGTGTACAATGTGATGATTTGATATATGTATACAGTTGGCCCTTCATGTCCACATATTTCTCATCTGTGTGTTAAACCAACCACAGATCAAAAATATTCCAAAAAAAGTTACATGGTTGCTGACATGCATTATGGAGTTAGGCCTCTGATGGTTATATCTGTACTGAATATGTAGAGACTTTTTTTCTTGTCATTATTTCCTAAACAATACAGTATAACAACAGCTCTTTACATTGTATTAGTATAATAAATAATCTAGAGCTGGTAAGAAGTATACAGGAGGATGTGCGTAGGTTATATGCAAATACCACACCATTTTACACTCAGGGGACTTGAGTAATGTGGATTTTGGTACCCGGCGGGCGGAGGGGAGTCCTGGAGCCAATCTCCCGCTGATACCGAGGGACAACTGTACATTATGAAAGGACCCCATGGTCAAGTTAGTTCATTCATCACCTCACATACCTTTTTTCTTAAGTCCACTGTCTTGGCAAATTTCAGTCATACATTGCCATCAACTGTAGGCACCTCGTTATACATTAGCTCCTCTTTCTCCTGCCCCCCAGCTGATGACCAAACACCCAGGCAAGCGGCTGGGCTGCGGGCCCGAGGGAGAGCGGGACGTGCGAGAACACGCCTTCTTCCGGAGGATCGACTGGGAGAAACTGGAGAACAGGGAGATCCAGCCGCCCTTCAAGCCCAAAGTGGTGAGTCGGGGCGAGCCCATTTCCTGAGCCCTGTTTCCCCAAATCCTGGAGGCGTCCCACCCACCCTTTCCTCTGGAGAAAAGCAACCAGGGACCCCTGGCCTCAGCAAGGTGGGAAAAATGGCCAGGCATCTGCCTCGCCCTCCATTCCGCGATCTGGGCAACCGGGATCCCTGCTGACTTTGTGTGTAAGGACAGACCAGGCAGCAAGGGGAGCCTGTGCCCACCGTGCACTCCAGCAGGACGACTGATGAGCAACCCCCAAAACTATTAGCCAGCCAGGGCAGGTCCGCTTTGGGTTTGGATTTCACGGGCTCACATTCCTTGCGCTGAGTCCTCAGCCGGGCTTCTCGTCCGTCTCCAGCCGTCCTGGGTTTCCCTCGCACCTGCGCCCCCTCAGTGCCTGCCACGCACCAGTTCCATGCTCACCTTCTGAGTGTTTCTCTCTCTGGAGAGAAACTGGGAGTCTTAAGACATCAACCCCGTCACTGGCGCCACCTGCCACTTCGCTGCGCCTCCAGGGAGGCTGCTCTTTCCTGCGTCCCGTGTCCGAAGGCGGATAGATCAGGGCCATGCTGCTCGGCCGTGGCCACTGTCTCTGCCAGCTTTGGGTCATCACCGCATGGCCTCTGCTCCTGACACTGCAAACAGGGCAGCTTTATTGCAGCGTTTCAGAAGCACTTGCTGTGCTGGTCCAGCCCAAATCTGTCTCCTGCCAGGTACCCCATGAGCAGGCAAAGGAACCCTCCCAGGTGGCTGAGTTGCTGACTGGGCGGGATGGGGTGGGGTGGAGGCAGGGGGCACACAGCTTTATTCTTAGAGCAGCTCCACTCCCAGAATAAAGCCACGGGTGGTCAGTCCATTGATTTTATGATTTTATTTTTCCAAGGCATTTTTAGCACAAACTGAAGAAAAACTAAAATTAATCAGGTCGGCTAACTTTCTCCTGAATCGTCACTTCCAATAGAAACATTACCTATCTGCCACCCCACCTTCTCTTTAGCCGGTACTAGGCATTGAATTTGGGGGTTCTCAGAGGATCCCTACCCTCCAGTTTACAAAATCTGGTTTTAAGATGGGGAGTTGGGGGTATAAAGACAGAGTGATAAATGATGCTACAGCCGGTCTCAGCAGAACATTCTATTAGGGATTTTCTTTTTCCCTTTCATGTTTAGTTAGCCTTCTGAAATTGACTATGAAAGGGACCCAGTAGCTAGGTCTCACACGCAGCTCGGGTCTCCGGGGACAACATGGAGACGCATGCTGACCCTGCGCTAAATCTTCAGCAAAGGCCCCTTTCCAGAAAGAGACGAGGTGCAGCCAAGTCACCATGAAACACATCTTTCTCTATGTATTCCCACTTTGCTTTCAGAAGAAATTGTTGATCTGCATAGTTACCTACTTTTTGTGGACACTATAGCCCTAAAACTCACATACAAAGGAAGACAGAGCATGTCTTGGCCTGTGGCCCAGGGTGTAAGTTCTTCTCTGTGGGCCATGGAAGTCACTGGAAGCACAGTTTCGTGCGGAAGGCCTGTCTGGTGAGAGCACTGTTCGGAGGAAGGGAGAGACCTCACGTGTTCACTGCGAGGCTTCTCAGGCAGAAGCCACTGTCTGCTGGGGAACCTGGATACAGAGGACAGAGCAGCCAGGAGAGTGCAGAGGACGGAGGTGGTACCGCAAGGGAGATGAAAACAAGAGCGGAGGTTAGAAGCACGTGGCTGCAGGACTGAGCAGCAGGCTTTCTGTCCCAACACAGAAGAGGGTCGAGGGCAAAGAGACCGATTAGGACAATCCTGGTCCCCAGAGGGCTCGGTTTCCCCTCGTCCCTGCGCCAGGCCACCCGCGCAGCAGCAGAGTTGGCCCTGAACCGCGGGTGAAAGGAGCATTTCGGCAGCTTCCAGGACATCGCTCTGACCTCGTGGTGCCAACCTGGAGCAGAAAGCCCACACGCCAACAGCAGAAGAAAGCCATCAAAGTGCAAATGTCGTGGAGGCGGCGGCATGCGCCGGGTCAGCATAGCAGCCAAGGCGGGTAGAAAATGATTCCATGATGTTCGCATTAAAAGGTCAAAAGAGTTTACAGATAACGTACAAAGCTGAGTCTTCTCTGACAGGCGGCTTTGTTATTTCAAAGGTGCAGCAGTACCAGCTTAGCTATCGCTGCTGAAAAACACAATCAGGCAAACGTATTGCTGCCAGATTTTACCGAAGTGTGCAGTGAACACATTTCAGAGAACATCTCTCCTCTGAGCAGTGTTGATAGCCCTAGTGGACAGAACTCGTCCATCTTGGAGTTTGTTCATGCTTTTTTATCAAGTGCTGGTAAATCAGTTTCCCTGACATGAAGGCTTTGGTTGTTTTTAATGCCCGTAGTAAGAACTGAGGCACCCACAGTTCATCTGCAGGGTGCTTCTGGAGGTCAGTTTTGTGCATGTAAGCTCAGGAGTCTTATCCTCATTTTATTTTTTAAATTTTTTTTTGAGCCTCCAATGAGAGATTATTTTAAAGTCACTGTCTTCCCTAAGAGAGTAGAGGGATCCTGTCGCTGGACCATCATGGAGCTTATCCTGAGGGATTGGGGTTCCCCCAGTGTTCCGCCATCTTTCTTTTCCTTTGTACCAAAGCTACAGTGTAGAAACTAGACCCAAGTGCCAGGGAAATGTGAACCCCACCGCCAAGGCCGGTTCACAGTGCGGTGGGTCCATCAGGAGGCTCATTCCAGGACTTTCTATGGCCTGGATTCTGTTTAAGGTCACACATCAAGTAGAGCAGAGAGAGGAGAGCGACCGGCGTCCGGTGTGGGTACTGTGGCCCTCACCCCAGGCACAGAAGGGAACGTGGAGAGGGAAGCATGCACAGGCCAGAGGAATAATGTGCATTGCAGTGGCCTGTGATGGGGGAGGACCCTGTGTCCCCAGAAGGCCTCCACGTGCAATTGTGAGGATGAAGACAATGTTCTGGAAGACGGGGGAGATGGCCGTGGGCTGGTTTATTTTGTAAAACAAAAGCACCTGTATTCTGCTCCCTGGGAGCTGAGGCAGCCAGGGAACTCTCTCCTTTATGGAAAGAAGCACAGGGCAAGCTGGTTTCAGTTTCCCTGCAAGAAACACAGTGTGGAGGAGCCTCGCTCCACAGACACCAGGACGTTGGCGCATTTGGCTGGTGTTCTGAGCGAAAAACCGGAGTCATGAAAAGGAGGCCCACTAAGAAGATCCTATGGAAGAAGTTTCCTTTTTTATTTTTAAGTTTAAAAAAGAGGTCACGGTGAAGAGGTGACTGTTTACTTCCTGAAGAAGAAATGGAGGGTCCCAGCTGCCTCCGGGGTTTCAGGTAACCCAGGCACTGAGCCAGGCCCAGTGCGCAGCACCCTGAGCGCTCGCGGAGGGAGAGGGTGCGCCTTCCTTCTGCCTCGCCTGAGGGATAAGAGGCCCTGGCCCTCTGAGGTAGGCCGGAGTCGCTTCGAATTTTGTCGGCTTTTATCCCGATTCATTACTCATGGGAAACTAATGCCCAACAACAGCCTTCAAATTCCCATTCATCCTACCCATGATAAATAACAGTTTACATAAATATTGGAAGTGGAATGTTAATTGATTTTTCATGTTTGAATTCCGTCCTTTGGCACCAAGGAGCAGAACAGCTAGTGCACAGGCAAAACCGAAGCATTCACTGTACTTAAATGGTTGTGGAAGAGAGAGAAATTAATCTGTAAAGTTAACACCAAGAAATAGATCCCAGAGTTGATAGATGAGCAGAGCGTTTTGGAAATAAGCCTGTCACACACTGGTAGCCTGTCTTGGGAAATTACTGTCATTTTGTCAAAAAGAAACAGGAAAAAAATAATAACTTTCATCAGGACATTGTCAGTCTTGTAGCAAGAGCCAAAGAGCCAAGCACGTCGAGAGCAAGAGTGGGTGCCGCTGTGGCCCTGAAGTCCTTCATTGCACCATGTCTTCTGCTTGTTTGGAGAGTTGGATAATGGTTTAATTAGCAAAGTGGGTGCAGCGCTCCTTTTTATTTTATTTATTTCGAAATGATTTCTAATTACTGGCTTGCAGAAAAGTTGCAAAAATAATTTGAAGAGTTGCAATAGTCCCTACACCCAGATGCCCTAAATGTTAACGTTTTCCCACATCTGCCGAATCAGTCCTTTCTTTACACCCGAGGGCGTGTGTGCACAGACACACACACACACGTATATTTTTCGTTTGAGAGTAAGTGGCAGGTCTAAAGTCTCCTTACATCTAAATAATTCCACGTGTGTTTCCTACAGCAAAGGGCACTCTGTGGTGCTGTGTGCTTTCCATCGTCACTCTGAAGAGTTGCTTGTACGGAGCAGCGGCTGTCCCCGTGGGCGGGGCTGCCTGAGTGATCCCGCAGCAGGCAGGCAGACTGGGCTGCCTCCGATCAGGTCCCTTGGCAGCCGCAGGTCCATTCTCCTGGCCTTTCTGTGGGAGCGGAAGCAGGGATGCTAATTAAAAGTGAGATTCACGAGACCCGGGGAGCTTTACCGCACCGGCAGCATCGGGACACTAACCCGCCTTGGGAGACCAGCGTCTCTACCTCATCCTTTTGTACTCAGGGTTGGTTTAAACCTTTAAACCAGCCTAAGACAGTATCTTCTACTTACTTAATTAAAGGAAAGAGGTCTTCCTTTTCTCTGATAATTACTCTCCCAGATGTGTTTCTGCTTGAAAGAGGAATGGGAAGAGAGGAGATGTTAAAATAATCATCAGTGTAGATAAGCAGCTCTGTGCAAGCCTCGAGGAGCTTCCGAGGGGATGGGTGAGATAAATGCAGACCCCATGGGCCGTGAGTCCTGTGAACTGACAAGCTCCCACCGTCTGAAACCGTGGGCTCCGATGGCAGTGGTCCCTGAATCCCCTGAAGCTGGGCATTGGTGTAAAGACAGACTAAATGGAGGGCATGTTGCCGTTCCACAGAACCAGCCCAGGATAAGCCAGAATCTTTGCCTTTGCACACACGCGGCTCTCGTGCC